ATGGGTAGTTCTCTTTTGAGACTCAGTTTATTATTTTTTTCTGTATCCCTAAATTCCTGTTTTAAAACCATCTAGCTGACCTTTCCTAAACAAGTCCAAATACCACTCTGCCAACAGTCCTTGTGGGTGTTCCCTGCCCTGGAATATTCCTCCCCTGGGTTTTTGCATTCAACTCTTTCCCACCTTTGTATCTCACCTGTAGTGTCCAGTCTGCAGAGAGGCTTTTCCTGATTGCCTTCCTGCACACATTCTTCTCAGTAAAGTTCAGTGGGCCAGGCACAGTGCTAGACACCTATAATCCCAGCCATTCAGAAACTGAGACAGGAGGATCACAAATTTTATGCCAGCCTCAGCAATTTAGTAAGGCCCTAAGCAACTTAGCAATACCATCTCAAAAGGTCTGTGGATGTAGTTCAGTGGTAAAGTACCCAGTGCCAAAAAAAAAAAACCACCCACATAGCCCATAGGTTTATATTCTGTGATCCACTCTTATAGAGGGACACTTTCTCTCTCTTTTTTTTTTAAATATTCATTTTTCAGTTTTAGGTGGATGCAATTTTTTTATATATTTATTTTTTAGTTGTAGTTGGACATTATACCTTTATTTATTTATTTTTATGTGGTACTGAGGATCGAACCCAGGGCCCCGCACTTGCTAGGCAGAGTGCTCCACCACTGAGCCACAACCCCAGCCCAATACAATATCTTTATTTTATTTTTATGTGGTGCTGAGGATCAGACCCAGTGCCTCTCACATGCTAGGCAAGCGCTCTACCATTTGAGCCACAAGCCCAGCCCCAACATTTTCATTATATATATTTCCTTTCTTCCCCTGTGGAATGTAAGTAAAGATCTTGTTTGCCTTATTCACAGCTGTGACTCCTAGCACGTGCCCAGCACATAATGGGTACTTAATAAAACACATGAAAGAAGAATAGAGTGGAAATGGAAAGAAAGAAAACTCTTTTAGGAATCTTCTGTTTTAAAGTACTATACTGAGGCAGAAAGAACACATGAATGAAAATAGAAAAGAATGAAGAGAAATTTTCATGGAAACAAACCATTACAACCTTTTCCTGGTGTCCTGTTTATGAAATGAATACGAGGTCTAGTGACCTCACATTTTAAAACTTGACGCCTACCTTATTTCTCACCTTTTTTCCTTGTATTATTCATTCTCGTCTTTCCCAAAAGTTTCCAAACATCACGCCAGTTCCCTTTCTTCGGTATTCTGTACTCAGGATCCCTGGTCTCTGTGCTTGATAGATTGAGTATAAGGGGTCATTCTCGGGAAACAGATCGGTTGTGTTTATGCTGTCTTTCGGTCACTAGCTGGCCCATGTTTAAGCACTCAGTAATGGATATGAAGAGGCCTCTACAGATATAATTTAAGTGACAAGTACTAAAGAAAAAGCTGGGTAATGGGATAGAGAGTTGAGAGAGAAGGGGATGTTAGACAAGGTGGGCAGTCATACTGAGCCAGCACCTGAATAAAGAAAGAGCAAGCCATGAGCTGTAATGCATCCGGGCCTTCTTTTCCAAGCTCTTGGTTCCCTGTCAATCAGGATGCTCCCTCTGGTCCAGGGCTTTCTGTACTGTGGTGCATGTACTGCAGGCCCCTAGAGGGCACTAGCCATGTGTTGTCATTGTAGGTTTGACCATCTTATCATAGGGTTCCAGCAGATGGCAGTAAAGTTCATAAGACAGGGTGACATTTTCAACTTAACACAAAGGTAGGAATTTCTAATTTGCTTTTAGGCTATTTATCGCCTTGTCCTTCTCTGGTACATCAAGGTCCTTTTCTCTCTGGGCCTCAGCATTATCCTCTAATTTTTTTTTTCTCTTTCAAATATTCAGATTTACAGAAGAACTGCAAGCGGTGTACAAAAAGCCCCCATGTGACCTTGACAGGCGCTAGCTTTCCAAGTCCAGTGTAGGATCATACTTGGCATTTACATATTGTTTTGTGTCTTTACTCTCCTTTAATCTGAAGGTTCTTCTTTCTCTTTCACAGCATTAATCCTTTTGTAGACTATAGGTCAGTTGTTTTTTTTTTTTTTTTTTTTAATAAGTTTTATTTATTTTTATTGTTTAATTTTCGGCGGACACAATATCTTTGTGTGTATGTGGTGCTGAGGATCGAACCCGGGCCGCACGCATACCAGGCGAGCGCGCTACTGCTTGAGCCACATCCCCAGCCCTAGGTCAGTTGTTTTGAGACTGTCTTGCTTGGTATTCTCTCTCTAGATTCAAGTTGTGTGTTTGGGGCAGGAATATCACAGAAGTACTGTTCTATCCTTCTCAGTGCATTGCATCCAGAGAAGCACATGAAATCACTTTGTTCTACTACTGGTGGCCTTGAGCCTCTAAGCATTCCATGTTGAAACGCTCTTGTAGCAGGTGAACTCTGACCACTAGCAGATTCTCCCACTTGATATTTGCCCTCTTACTTGGCCAGTGTTCTGTTAGGCTTCCTCTGCAGTCTCAGTTCAGTCATATGAGCCGGAATTGTCTCCCAGATTTCAACCTGCTCTGCAGCACTACTACCTATGATTAGACTTCCCATCAGTAATTATAACGCCCCTTTCCTCTCCTCATGAGTCACCTCCCCTGGCCAGAATCTCTGAACCAGTGCTCATTTCTTCTATACAATCAGCATCTTTAAATATATATATATATTTTTTTTTCTTTTAGTTGTGGTTGGACACAGTACCTTTATTTTATCTATTAAATATATGGTGCTGAAGATCGAACCCAGCCCCCCCGCCCCGCACATGCTAGGCGAGCGCTCTACCGCTGAGCCACAACCCCAGCCCCCCAATCAGCATCTTTTTAATAATGTTCTTGATTTTGAGTTGTACTCATATTAAGTTTGGGCAAAATTAGGCTTGAGAGAAATGTTTTCAGAGAGTATTGGAGCTGAACATGGGGAAGGAGTAGATGTCATTGGTCAGCTCAGGTTCATTTGATCTCAAATCACAGTCTTTCATGCTAATTGTATTTGATTGCAGTTAAAGTTTAAATGTTTACTGCATGTCAGTTACAGTGCAGAGCATTCTCCCGGCACTAACCTATCCTTGAAGCAACTCTAGGAAATAGATGTCATTTTATTTGTTTTACAATTGAGAATATGCAGTCTTAAACAGGTTTAAGTAATATGGTTGGAAATTACTAACACTGAAATTCTTGTCTATCTCCAAAAGTCTTGCTCTTTTTTTAAACAGAGTAGATGGGAGGAAAGTCACTGTAGGGCTACTACTTAAGTGTCAGCCTTTTACAGAGCCTAGATTGGAAGTAGTTACCAGCCTGCCATCCAGTTTGAGGTGTTTTAAAGTACAAGAACTTAGATTCTTCCAGTTTTTAGATTCCCAACCATAAGATCTGGTTGCCTGGGATTGTCCAGGTTTATAGCTATTTCCTCGACACGACAATTAAATTACCCCACTTGCTTTTAAAAGTATTATGGTTTGGCCATGCACCTGTAGTCCCAACTGATTAGAAGGCTGAGACAGAGAGATTACTCGAGTCCAGGAATTCAGAGCCAACCTAAGCAACATAAGGAGGCCCCTGTCTCTTAAAAAGTAAAAATTAAGAGCTGTGTGCAGTGGCACATGCCTATAATCCCAGCAGCTCAGGAGACTGAGGCAGGAGGATCACAAGTTCAAGGGCAGCATTAGCAACTTCTCAAGATGTGTCTGAAATAAAAAGGACAGGATGTAATTCATTGGTAGAGCACCCCAGATTCAATCCTCAGTACCAAAAAAAAAAAAAAAGTAAAATTAGGGCTAAGGGTGTAACTTGAGGCAAGATTGCTTGTCTCATGTGCTCAAGGCCCTGGGTTCAATCCCCAGCACCACAAAAGATGGGGGGTAAATTTTATATATATATGTGTGTGTGTGTGTGTGTGTGTGTGTATGTATGTATTATATATATGTAGTAGTCTGAATAATTATATTGTCCCAAACTCATTGTCCTTCCTGAAACCTCTTCAGATTAACACAGACTTGTGTTTCATTGTAACACTAATTGAGATTGGTCTGTTTTTATCACCAACGTTTTTTTGCCCCTACCCTAATTATACATTTCTGGTTAGCTTTGTAGGCGTTATCAGTTGGTTTTGACTAGAATTTGCCATGTTGTCCAGTCTGGCTTCAAATTCCTAGGCTCAGGTGATCACCTTTCCTTAGCTTCCATAGTGCTAGAACCACAGACGCCCACACCAACCTTGTTTGCGTCATTTAGTCAACAGTTACCAAAATTTTGCCAGCCTCACTCTGGTTTTTGTTTGTTTGTTTTTTGTTTTGTTTTTGTTTTTGGTGGTGCTGGGAATCAAACCCAGGTCCTTGTGCATGCAAGGCAAGCACTCTGCCAACTGAGCTATATCCCCAGCCCTGGCATCCTTTTTATGGATGTGTGTATATATGTCAGTAAGTACCAAGGTTGAACTCAAGGACGCCTTACCATTGAGCAGCATCTCCACCCCTTTCTGTTTTTTATTTTGAGACAGGGCCTTACTTAGTTGCCAAGGCTAGCCTTGAACTTGCAATCTTCCTGCCTCATCGTCCCAAGTCACTGGGATTACAGGTGTACACCACTGTGCCCAGTTCTATTATCCTTTCTGCCAAAACATTTAAGGTCAATGAGACTTTACATTAGTGGACTTGAGCAGCTAAAATAAATTCTTTTAGGGGCTGGGGATGTGGCTCAAGTGGTAGCGCGCTCGCCTGGCATGTGTGTGGCCCGGGTTCGATCCTCAGCACCACATACAAACAAAGATGTTGTGTTGGCCGAAAACTAAAAAATAAATATTAAAATTCTCTCTCTCAAAAAAAAAAAAAAAAAAAAAAAAAAAATATATATATATATATATATATATATATATTTAAAATAAATTCTTTTAAGTGTCAGATTCTCTATGCTAGTGGGACACCCCACAGGTGCGCAGAGCTCATCCAGAGCAGTTCCTGCTTCTGCAACTCACATTCCCTTTCTCTTGGCAGTGCACGATCTGATTTTCTGGCGAGATGTGAAGAAGACTGGGTTTGTCTTTGGCACCACACTGATCATGCTGCTGTCCCTGGCAGCCTTCAGTGTCATCAGTGTGGTTTCTTACCTCATCCTGGCCCTTCTCTCTGTCACCATCAGCTTCAGAGTCTACAAGTCTGTCATCCAAGCTGTACAGAAATCAGAAGAAGGCCATCCATTCAAGTGAGTTGAAGTATCACACACAATATTCCACATTTCAGTGGAGGGGTTTGCTGAGACTGGTCCAGTCTGAAAATTGGACCTAAATAAAAAGCAAGAAATATAGGGTTTCATGGAGCTGACTGGTGACATTATTCATCTCCTAGAGACTATGATTACCCTAAGAAGTGGCCCAAACCGTTTTTTTACACACTAAAGGCTTACACTTTAAGATCAAAGAGGACTAAACCCTGAGCATGACGGCAAGTGCAGCACACCGAGAGCTGTGCTCATTCATGCGGTCGCTCTTGCCTATGAGCCTCCCATATGACACAATATCTTTATTTTATTTATTTATTTTTATGTGGTGGTGAGGATCGAACCCAGTGCCTCACACATGCAAGGCAAGCGCTCTACCACTGAGCTACAACCCCAGCCCCCATGTGGATGAATCTTGAAATGGCTTTGAAATCTTAACTGGACCTGTGTTCTTGGTGGCATCCATATCTCTCATTTGGTTTTAATAATCCGAGAATCAAGTTGGTAGGTCATGCATTTCTAGGATCCAGTTTCTAGCTTTTCTTATTGTGCTGTCACTTTAACAGATCTTTTCTTCTTGAAATTCTTAACCCATAAAAACATAAACACTAGCAAATGACAGTTTTTTAAAAAGCCCTTTTCTCATAGAGGAAGAAGCCCTGCTATGACCTCACCACTGCAGCTGAACGCCTTCTGGCCACCATGCTGTGCATATACTTTCCTTCTGTAAAAGAAGAAAAAACTTAAGTCAAGTGCCATTAAAATTTTCTTGCCAATTAATTTTAATAAGTCAGTAGCACAGAATGAATGTGTGAATAAATTTTACTGCTATGCAACATGCTCTGATATCTTAAGGGAGTATTGTTCTTTTCTGCATGACACTTGTAGATATAAAAAAAATATGTTTTATGGGCTGAGGTTATGGCTCAGCAGTAGAGCACTCCCCTAGCATGTGCAAGGCCCTGGGTTCAATCCTCAGCACCGTATAAAAATAAATAAATAAAGATATTGTGTCTAAAAAAATATTTAAAAAATGTTTCATGAAATTTTATTAATTACAATACCTAATTTTTAAAACTCTTACACATAATTGTAAGTATTTTCTTAATAAATAGGAAGGGAAAAAAGCCTATTACTCTTCCATTTTCCCCATGACTAGGGGGCTCCTAAAGGTAGTAAAAGTGGCCTCACCTTTCCTGACATCCCAGCATGTAGCAGAATGTCTGGTATGCAAGAGACATGCAGTCAGTATTGAGGGAATGAACAGGTAATGAGCGCATGGTTACATCTCAGTCCTGTAGTATCTGGGGACAGAACCCTGGACTTTTTTCTAAGGTTTTCAGCTCTGTCAAATTTATTATTTTTTAAACAAATATTTTAAATGCCTTCTTTATCATTCTGAATGAAATTCATAGATAATGTGATCTAGCTTCAAATGTAGTTTCAAAACAGATCAATTATAAAAATGTGAAACATAGACATATTACTTCATTATAAACGACTATCAGCCAATATTTAGTTGCTTGAATATGACCATACCCAGTAGCATAGTGGAGTTGGATTCTTGCACCTACCTCTGTAATCACTAGTGCAGATGTGATTTTCCAAAATGGGAAACAAATAATAAACGGAGTATGGTTTTAGGGCCTAGGGCTATAGCTCAGTGGCAGATCACTTGCCTAAAACATGTGACAGTAGTGTAGTTTTAGAAAACTCAGGATTTTTTTTTTTTAATTATAAACTTCTTATGGCATTCAATCCTCACAATAATCTTGTGATTTATTATTATTATTTTTAATATATATTTTTACTTGTTGATGGGCCTTTTATTTATTTATTTGGTTTTGGTACTGAGGATTGAACTCTAAGGCACTCAAACACTGAGCCACATCCCCAGCCCTATTTTGTATTTTATTTAGAGACAGGGTCTCACCAAGTTGCTTATTAGCCCCTTGCTTTTCCTGAGGCTGGCTTTGAACTCATGATCCTCCTGCCTCAGCTTCCTGAGCCGCTGGGATTATAGGCGTGCGCCACTGCACCTGCCTTATTTGTTTATTTATATGCAGTGCTGAGAATTGAACCCAGTGTCTCCCACATGTTAGGCAAGTGCTCTACCACTGAGCCATATGTTACGGCCATTTAATTATAAATGGATTCACCTTTTTTTGAATATTCATTGAGGGAATCAAATTTACATAGAACATAGGACAATTCTTCACTGTGTATGACTGCCCCATACTTTGCAGACATCTGGCATCTTTGTCTCTGCCCACTAAATGATGATATTGTTTTCACCCCATGATAGCAAAAAATATGCCAGAGATTTCTAAAATGCACCCTAGAGGCCACTTTAACCCTCAAGAACTGCTGTGCTGACAGAGAATGCTCCCTCTTATTTCAAACATGTGACCGTTGTTTCTTCCTCTGAAAGAGCCTACCTGGATGTGGACATTACACTGTCCTCAGAAGCTTTCCATAATTACATGAATGCTGCCATGGTGCATGTCAACAAGGCCCTAAAACTCATCATTCGTCTCTTTCTGGTGGAAGATCTGGTCGACTCCTTGAAGGTTAGTTGCTTCTGCAGTTTTTGGTGGTGAAACTAAGAAAAATCAGGGTCTGGATTTTGATTCAGAGGGAAAATGGTGCATAGGGTTTTATCAGACAAAAACAAACATATGCTTAGCTCAGTCATCTTGTGAAAATGAAGGTAGTAGTCAGTAGAGAAAGCTGTCACCAAGGGCTAGGGAGATTAGTTCAGTATCAAGAGCTCTTGTGCAGGGCCCTGGGTTCAATCCCCAGTATTGCAAGCAAAAAAAAAAAAAAAAAAGTATTGTTGATGTTATTGTTAAACATAAAAAAAATAAGTTATACAGATATCATGAGCTGGGCATGGTGGCACACACCTGTAATCCCAGTGGCTCAGAAGGCTGAGGCAGGAGGATCAAGAGTTCAAGGCCAGCCTCAGCCACTTGGCAAGGCTTTAAGCATCTCTGTCTCAAAATAAAAAGGTGTGGGGATGTGGTTCAGTGGTAGAGCACCCCTGGGTTCAATCCCCACTACCAAAAAAAAAAAAAAAAAAATCATGAGAAGCTGTCACCTCCTATTAGAGAATGAACATCAGATTATCTGGTAATAAACTGGTGCGGTGACACATGCCAGTAATCCCAGCAGTTTGGGAGGCTGAGGCAGGAAGATTGCCTCAGCAACAGCAATGCACTAAGCAATTCAGTGAGACCCTGTCTCTAAATAAAATACAAAATAAGGCTGGGGTGTGGCTCAGCAGTTGAGTGCCCTTAAATTCAATCTCTGGTACCCCCCAAAAAAGAATATCTGATAATAGAATCAGCAGTGGTACAGTCTTTGGACCTAAGAGATCCACAGAATTCTCTCATGCACTTAAATGTATAATGCAAGTGAGGGAACCTTCATTTTGAAATCATGTGTCATAGGTCACTGTGTTTATACACACTTAGGTAGCTAGAGGTGATTGGTATCAGTTAACATGAACTTTACTGGTTTTCTGCTTAACCCCTCTTACATTGGCTTTCACAGCTGGCTGTCTTCATGTGGCTGATGACCTATGTTGGTGCCGTTTTTAATGGAATCACCCTTCTGATTCTTGGTAAGGTGGCAAGGAAAATGTCCATGCTCCTTGAAGTGATTAGTGAGGATAAATAAAGAGGATGTCCAGCAGGGCTCTACTTGTTCCACGTGGTCCCATCTCAGTAGCCAGAGACTATGAACTAGATACTGGAGGAACTTGTGATCACAAGTTTGTTAAATGGTCCCATTTATAATGATATTTCAAAATAGCTGGAAGTAAAGGAGAGTTATCTAGATTTGGTTTAAAAATGGGGATCTTATTTATAGTATAGCCATTTTTTTAATTTGGAAATTGTTATCTGTAGGACAAAGAAAGCAACCTATATACCTGAGAGAGGCTTGTGGTTTTTTACACTTCTCTACTTTTATTTTGTAATGGTTCTTAATTGGGAGCTCTGGCCAGGATCTGTCCTTTTGAGGAAAGTGTGTTACCCTATATTTCCTGAGGAAATGGATGCAGTTGCTTGTGTCTTGATACTTTGTGACTATCTCATGCACACCTACACTTGCCCTGTCCTGTGATTCTTTCAGCGGAGCTGCTCGTCTTCAGCGTCCCAATTGTCTATGAGAAGTACAAGGTAGGCATTTATTCCAAATCAGTGTGCTGGTTGATAAATGACTGCTTTTAGTTGATTTTAAAGTCAAATTTGTGTTCAAATTGGTCACGGTGTTTTCCTCCAGTGAGAGAAACTAGATGTCTAGAAGAGATGTGGGTGGGAAAGAGACTTACTTGTTACACCTTGTGTAAACGTTTCGAGGTTTTATTGCATAGATGCATTATCTCTTCAAAAAGTTGAAAAAATGCTTAATGAATAAAAACTGAATGTAAAAGGAAGCAGTTTCTTTTATTTTTTGGGGGGGGGGGGTTAGCTGTAGGCTCTTCAGGGTGGTGCAAGCAGATGTTTACATAGTAGAATGCTCCAGTAAAGGAAGTACCAAGTAATGCTTACCTTTGCAAAAGCTTTCACTTTCACACAACTTGGCATAATTTGAAGTCTGAAACATTAATCTATGTGTTACTACAGCTGAGTCTTCTTTCTTTCCTTAAAGACCCAGATTGATCACTATGTTGGCATCGTCCGGGATCAAACCAAGTCAATTGTTGAAAAGTAAGTACATTTGGAAACACATTTCATCATGAGATGTGTTTTTTCCCCTGGTTATTTTTAGTCGTTGTCTAAAATGCCCATGTCAAAGATAGCCATTTTCGTCCTGAAAAAAAAAAAACTTTGTTTTGTTTATTGGGGGTCGGGGGCAAGGTAGAACACTTGCCCTGGGTTCAAAATCTAGTACCACCAAGTTTAGGGGGTTTTTTTGTTTGTTTTTGTGGTACTGGAGATAGAACCCAAGGTCACTCTGCCACTCAGCTACACCCCCAGCCCTTTTTATTTTTATTTTTTTTAATTTTGAGACTGGGTCTTGCCAAGTTGTCCAGGCTGGCCTCGAATTTGCAAACCTCTTGCCTCTGCCTCCGAGTAGCTGGGGCTATAAGCATACATCATCATACCCAGCTGAGCTAACTGTTTTCTGTGATTACCAAATCCCTCTTTTCTTTTTTAAGTAATACCTAAATCAAGTAATAAAATATTGTAGTGCTGGGGATGGAACCCAGGACTCGCCTATATTAAGGAGCTGCTTTTTTATTTTCAGTTATTCATAACAAATATTATGAAACCAATGATTTGAAGTAAAATGTTAACATTATTCCATACTTTCTTCAGTTTTTCTCTTTTTAACTTTTTATTGGTATATCATGAATCATACATACACTATAATAGTGAGATTCAATATGCCTCATTCATCCGTCCAAATAATTTGATCAGTCTCATTCCCCAGAGCCTTCCCTTCATCTCCCCTCCTCCCTTCCCTTCTTCAGGTGTTCTTTTAGAAAGAAGTACCACAGATTCCCTGTGTGCTACTTCCATACCCGAGATTTTAGTGCTTTCTCCAGGTTTGTCAAGAAAAAGCTGAGTAGGCTAGAGATGTATGTAGCTCAGTGATAGAGCACTTGCCTAGCATGAGCAAGTCCTGGGTTCCATCCCCAGCACTATAAAAAATAAAATAAAGAAGAAACTGAGTATATCCAGTAGGTCTGGTTTGATGCCAGAATCTTCACCTGATTTTTTGATTTTTTTTTAAACTGGGAATTGAACCCAAGGGTACTTTGCCGCTGAGCTACATCAGACAGACAGCACAAATATATATATATATATAGTTGCTATTTACCCTAGTTATTTGTGAAAGGTGATTATAGCTAGGCTTTAAAGCTAACGTCTTCAGTGCCAGTATGAGCTATGAGCTTGAATTGGGTTGCCAGCTGTGTTTGTGGCATTTGTGGAGAGTAGCCTTGACATTACTGAGAGTTTTGTTTTTTCTTTGTGATACTGATGATAGAGCCCATTGGCACTTTACTACTGATACACCCTCAGCCCTTTTTATTTTTTACTTTGAGACAGAGTCTCCCTTAGTTGCCAAGACTGTCCCTGAGCGTTATGGGATTATAGGCTTGCACCATTGCACCAGGCTTTCTGATTGAATAGCCCCTTTGCTAGAATAAAAGGCAGCTTCTGGTATCCTGTGGAGGGGCTAGGAAATGTTGCCACATCCCATAGGCCTGAGATCCAGGATACTATGACCCATATCTGTTTTACATGTCTCCTTCACCCTGACTTCTAGGTCCTTTGTGGCACTGGTGGGTTCTGTACCTCACAGAGCCAGAGAAATGGGCCTTTTTTAACTAATATCTTGTGAGTTTAAGTAATACACTGCGAGTTTAGAACATAGTCATCAGGCATCTTGCCTGGGTCCCTCCATTCTTCTCTGGAACCCTCAGTGAAAGACCCAGATTCCTGGCAGAGAAAGAGGATCAGGCATGGCAGCAGGGGAAGAGGGATGATCTTTGTGGACCCCTCAGGCTCATCCCAGGCAGAGAACAGGACAGCTTGGAACCCCTGCCTCTCTTCACCATATCCCTGTGAAAATGGGAGAATGTTTATAGGTTGCTCTAGCAAGTCCAGGACTGTCTTCTACTATCACTGTAAAAATGTAAACCCAGACAAATGCTTATGTTTTTTTTTTTTTTCTTCTTTCCCCCTGCCCTGAACAGGATCCAAGCAAAACTCCCTGGAATCGCCAAAAAAAAGGCAGAATAAACACATGGAAACCAGAAATGCAACAGTTACTAAAACACCACTTAATAGTTATAATGATGTTACTTGTACCATGGAGGACATGCTCAGTGTCAGCTTGAGCCTGCATTCCAAGCTTATTTTTATTTTAATTTGGTATTTTCTCCCCTCCTTTCCCTTTACCCTCAGTATCAAGCACAAGAAACAGTGGACTGAACAAAAAGAACTGATATCTTAGAACCCGAAAGAATCAAATTAATAGGATAAATTATACCTTAGTGGTGGTGGAGCTTTTTACCTGTAGCATGAAAAGGGGAAAGATTAGAGGTAAAGAGAAAGTGAATGGTAGAAAAATTTCTTGGGTCCTTCTATTCAGTTTTCAAGGACTAGTTTTACACAACTCCCATTATAGTTTTGCCCTTATTTTTAAGTTAAGAAATAATGATTAACTTATGAAGAAATGGTTTGGGGACAGGAGGGGGATGCCTTCCTTGGGTTGTTTGCAGCTCACCAATCCCATCCTCCTGCCCCACACTGTGAGCAGCTACTCTTAATATTCCTCTTCTTGACTTAATGATATAACTTCCAGCTCTGAGTAACTTATAGGTAGTAGTGATAATTCCTATCTCCAGAATGCCATCTGAGAAATAAGAGTAGAAACAGAAAAGGGTGGGAAAGGGTGTGGCAGGGGCACAGCAATGGCCACCTCCCTCTGCCACTCACCCACAGGGAAGGAAGGGCTCCACCAGCTGGGAGCATGGTGTCCACATCATCTCTTGGATGCCAGTTCTGGGAGTTAATTTGAGAACTCATTCCTGAATGTGCTTTCCCCTCTTTCCTGCCCACCCACCTCACCTCAAGTTTAATAAATATGGTTGTACTTTTATTATTATGAAATAAATGTCTGTACCTGCTGTACACTGCTGTAAACTTGTTAGAGAAAAATAATCTGCATGTGGGCTCCCTAGTTATTGAGTTATTGTAATCCTGTCTCAGTCCGTGGAGGGGGAACAGTCTCAAAAGATGGAACTACCGAAAAAGAAAAACGTTTTTCTTTATCTACCACCACCACCACCACCACTGCTTTCTCCTCACATGCTGTTGCTTTAATGTGTGCTCATCAGTTTAGTGTAAGGACCAAAGCCAAGCTGGCTTGAGGGGAGATCTTGTGTGTCTGTGGCTAAGAGACTGCACGCCAGTGTGGGGTCGCGCATTTTGTGGTTCACGTGGAGTCTATCTGCTTTGAGGGTGCTTTCCTTTTTCAGATACACAAAATGCTCAGCCCCTGTACCATGGCCCATGATGCTCCTTTGGAGAGTGCTTTCTGTGAACTTTTAAGTTAAGATGACCAGACAGAGCCAGAGTGTATTGATGGGCTTTCTGCAGTTGGAGACAACAGAGCAGTGCACAGGCACAGCAGGTGGAGGGTGATTGGGAATCATTGATTCCTGTTTGAGACAAAGTTTCTTCCTCCCTTTTCCACATGGAGACTCAAGTCAGTGTGAAAGCAGTCATTAAGTTCCTTAAGCTTGTAGCTCCTACATAGTCCTGCCCTTCCAAGAGGCAGCAAGCTGTAAGGGCTACAATATTTGTTGGTCCCAAAGTACTGCAGCTCTGCAGGAAGCACTGGGAGGATTTTTTTTTTTTTAATTGGGAATTTAGATGAGTAAAAGGAACTCTTCCCATACTCCCTTTTCTTATTTTCTTGCCCCCTTTCTTTTTGAAATTTTTAACATTTTCTGTCATATTAAGAAACTCCCTCTCCATCACTATTCCTTACCCTCCCAGGAAGTCATTGCACCGATGGACTTTCAGGCTTCCCCTCCAAAGGACCTCTTTCTGCACTGGAAGCCCCACACCTGGTTCTTTTCTTTTGTTGTTGCTGTGTTAATGATAATGGGAGAGATGTTTGTGCCATGCAGAATTTTTTTTTTTTTTTTTTTTTTTAAGGAAAACATAGACAAAAAAGTACTAATGAAACTGTGTGCGTGTCTGTGTGTGCAACATAAAAATACAGTAGCACCCAAGGAGCTTGAATCTTGGTTCCTGTAAAACTGCAAATTGATGTGGTATTAATTTAAAAATAAAGAACACAATGACTGGTGGTGTTCTGCTAACTTTATTCTTTATACTTATAAACAGGGCTTCCTTCCACTTCCCCCCTCCTCACTCCGCTTTGAGGATTTTAAAAAACAATTTATATGAATTCCTAAATTGCAGAATTTCCATAATGTAAAAAGCACAGTTGTGCATTTGGTTTCTGAGAAAATCAGACACCCTCTAAGAGGTGAGCTTAGGAGAAAGATGAGCTGGAGGTATGGCTTAGTGGTAGAGCACTTTTCTGGCATGCATGACGCCCTGGGTTCAATCACCCCAGCCACACTTTAAAGAAAAAAAAAAAAAAAAAGGATGCAAGGGGGCTGCTGGCCCAGAGGAACACACCAGCCTGGAAGGGTTCCCCACTTGCAATGTGAAGCAGCCACAGAAGGCCACACTAAGCACCAAAATCAAGAATCAGTCACCTCTTTGTAAAACAACTTGTTTCTCAAGTTGCTCTTCCCAAAACTAAGGCTGCTGTGACTCACGCTGGATTTTAAAAATTTATTCAACATATCTCTTAAAAAACTTAGGCTGAAGTATTTTTTTTAAATGACTGAAGCAAACAACTTCACAAATACGCATACAAATGTTCAAATAATGTCACTAAGTAACATGGTATATAAATATGTATTCAGAGTAACATTTACATATTGGCCATAATAGCAAGGATACCATTAACCAAAAAAGAAAAAAAAAAATGAAATTGTTCATGTCAGAATCCCAAGGCAAGGAGGCACCCAAGGAATGAGGGCAACTCTGAGGCCATAGCTCCAGTCACAGTAGGAATCACTACAGCGGCACTTCCCAGATCACATTTGGGCCCCCAAAATTTATACCTCTAGCAAGGTCCTAAGATGATGATGCAGATCTGGGGCCACACTTAGAAAGCCACTCAGTCACTTTTGTTCTAAGGCCTCTTCTGTGAAGGGGGAAACCAATACCTAACCTGTTTTCTGACTTGGCTTACCTGAGCGTCAACAGTGAGCTCAGGTGATTATAACCAGTTGTCCTGATTTGCCTGTTTTTGAATGGCAGTGTGGAAAAAGTGATAGAATACTCCTTCTGGATTTGAAACCAACATGCATGAAGTAATGAATGGCAATGCCCAGGCTGGTGCCACAGCTTATCTGTTCTCAAGATTTTAATACTGTCTCAAAAACCCTGGAGGGCCAAACTCAGTGGAAATTCACTTTTCAGCCAACTGACAGCCCATCCCCAAATTCCAAAACAATGGAAGAACACAAAGCCAGAGCCTTGCCCTGCAGAGTAGACCTTTGGCCAGGGGTGAAGGGCCCATCTTGTGTTCTGATCCCAAAGCTTCAAAGCAGCCTCTGCCTCCCAGCTGAGGCCTGCAGCAGCAGGAGCTGCCCCTCATTCCAAGAGCTTAGCATCCTCAAGAAGTGCAGTTCTCTGCCAACCTCAGGAATCATAAGTGCACTGTGACAGCCTGCAGTGCCCCAAACATGCCACCCCCCTTGCAGGCATAATGGGTAAAGAAATTCTAATAATTTACCAGAGATTGGGAGGCAGCGTGCTATGATGAAAAGAACACTGAATTGGGAGTTGGGATTTTTTTTTTTTTTTCCTAGTTCTTGTCCTGTTTCTACCTTAGCTGTGTGAAAAGTTGTTTCTGGTATTAAGAATTTTGCCTGCGTGAAGGGGGAGAGATGGTACTAAGTTATCTCCACAGAGTCCCTTCCAACTCCAGCAAAACTGTATAAAATGCTATAAAATTCGTGGTATAAAAACCCAACTCCCAATTAGAAAGTCAAGGAACTTGGCCTGAGGCACTTGAACCTTGGGTTCTGGCCTGGGGCGGGTAAGGAGAAAGAGCTTTCTCTGCCTTCTGCTTTCTCAAGACAGCCCGCCCTTGTCCCCCAGGGCCACACCCTTGCAGACCCCACCCACAAGCTCCACCCCTTGGCTTCCCCACCCTGACTTTAAGCCAGCGGAGAGCGCTGTCCCTGCAGGGGCATCCCTTTGTGGAAAGCCAATGCTGGGGCCGGAGAAAGAGGCCGAGACTACAGGAATGTATGGGATATTTAGTCCTCCCATCCCCGCCGCTGTCCTAGCTCCTTCTTCCTTTAGGTCCTTCCCCCACTACCTCACAGCTTATCTCTGATACACGCATAATAAATAAGACATTTGCACATTAGGGTGATTGGGTCAGCTCTGTCTCCGTCCCGCCCCCTTTCATATAAAAGCATTAAATACAGTTCCAAAATAAAATACAAAGAGCAAAAAGGGGCCTGATCTCAGGGCCACCTGTTCTCCACGGGAGAATGAGTCTACACATCCCTCTCTCGGACCTGCCTGGGAGATCGCGGGGCCCCTTCCCCACCCACAGGGCCTGGCCCTGCCTCCGGAAGAGAGAGGCCGAGGCCCGGCCCCAGGCCCTGGGAGCGAAGAACGGGTAGCGAGTCCACTGAGGACAAAGGGGCAAAGGGAGGAGGCGGGAATATAGGCCAACTGCCGGGACCGCCAGTGCCCCGGGCTCAAATGGACCTGGCGCTAGACCAAAAAACGCCAGATTCAGTTTAGGGGTAAACGGAGGCCCTCAGGGCTGGAGAGGAGCAAAGGAAAAAAGTGCTAATCCCTTTACACGAAGCCAGTACGAGCGGGAGGGAGTGGCAGAGGGCGGGGCCACCAGGGGCAGGGTCTCTCTGAGCCTGCCCCCGAGGCTGGCGCAGCTGGCAGGGCCCAGGCTCAGGGCGGGTCGCCCCGCCCGTCCGTGGTCCCACGCGCCCTCCCCATCCCGGAGGCTCCCAGCCCTGGGTCCGCCCCCAGCCTAAGGCCCCCGTCCGTGGCCAGGGCCTCCGAGAGGCCAAGAATACCAATTAGGACAAGGCAGTCAGCAGTCCCCGAGACGGGAGCTGTGCCTGCTGGCGTGCAAGGCCGCAGAGAACTGGGCCCCCGGCCAGGACAAGGGGCCGGCGCGCTCCTCCTGCCCTCCCCGAGGCCCCTCCGGAGGCCTTAATACTGACTGATGACGCCCCCATCCCAGCCTGGCAAAGGGGCGCCTCGCCGGGTGCTGCCCGACACCGGCTGGGGCTAGCGGCGCTCGGTGCTAACACTTCAGAGACCGCTTTGGCTTCATAGAAAGCGGAGCGCTGCGCAAAGGGCCGGAGCACCGGGACCGGGTGCGCTTCCCCCAGCGCCCGACTAGCTCCGACACCCAAGTAGCAACAAGCAGTAGAGTCGGCGCCACCCAATCTCCGCCCGGCCCGGCCAGCGGGGGGGCGCGACAGCAGTCGGGCGTGGGAAGCTCTAGCACTAGATACGAGGGCCTCCCAGCCCGGGCCCGGCCGAGCACAGGGCGACCCAGCGAGTCCGCTACGCCCGGCACACGGCACCCGGCTTGAGGTCCGTGCCGCCGTCACGCGGTGCAGGGGCGGGTGGCCCGAAGCCCTCGTGGCCATAGCAGCGCAGCGCCGCCTCCTCGTAGGCCTCCAGGATGGTCTGGCGCTCCTCCGGTGTGAAGTCCATGGAGAAGGGGTGCACCTGCAGGATGTGCCGCTTGATGGTGCTCACCTTGAGCGTGGCCAGCGCGCCCCCGCACACCATGCACACCAGGCCGCGCCGGCTGCCGTCGTAATCCATCAGGTATTCGCCCCGCCAGCGCGGCTGGTAGTTCCGCCGCTGTTCCCGGCTGCGGGGCGGCGGCGGCGGCGGGGGAGGGGGCGGCGGCGGCAGTGGCAGCGGCGGGAAGGCCAGTCCTCCGGGTTCCTGCCCGTCCTCTTCGTCCTCCTCTTCCTCGGCGGGCCGCTCCAAAGCAGCCCCAGGGGAGAGTGGGACTTCGCCTGGAGAAGGACAAAGGGCTGCATTGGAGTTGCTGGCAGACAGCAGGACAGGCCCCACATCTCAGCACACATTCTCCTCCTTTTGTCCCTCGATCCCAGCCTCCCTTCAGCCTTCTACTCTCACTCTTCAAGCAGCCACGCTAGGCCCAGCCCTCTCCCTGCCTGCCCGGTCCCTACCCGCGCTCTCTGCCGGCACTCCTGGCCACCTGCTCTGGCCCTCCACCGGCTCACCCCACCACTCCTCCTCTGGCTCCGCCTCCTCCGCCCTTCCCCCTTCCCGGACTGCGGCAGTACTGGGGCCGGTGGAGCTGGGGGGCGACTCCGAGCAGGGCAGCCCCAGGGCCAGAAGGTGGGCGGCCTTCTCGCTCCATTCCTTGACAGGCCCGGTGAGGCACGTGGAGCCCGGGTGGCGCTGGCGGATGTGCCGCTTGATGGTGCTCATCTTGAGCGAGGCCAGCGCGCCCCCGCACACCATGCACACCAGGCCGCGCCGGCCGCCGTCCAGCTCCATGAGGTACTCCAGTCGCCAGCGCTCTTGGTAGTGAGGGCGGTGGTCGCCGCCCCGCAGCGACTGCCCGGGAACCCCCTCCCTCTCCGCCTCTCCCTCGCTCTCGCCCTCCTGTGTGGGCCCGGGCCTCTCAGGGACCCTGCCAGCCTCTTCCTTTACGTCTGGGGGACTGAGATCCTGAGAGGAGGGGGCTCCAGCAGCAGGGGCCGAGTCCCGGCTCTTTCTGGTCAGGTCCTGGGGAACGAGGTCCTCGTCTGTTGGGGAAGGGTTGAGGGAGAGGGGCTCAGCCTGCTGACGTTGTTGTCCTTACCCACGCGGGGTGGGGGGGTATCTATCCTTGGTCCTCACCCCAGCCCCAAGCTAGAGGCCCCAGGGAGAGGGGGGGAGAGAAAGAGAGAGAGGGAGGGAGGGAGGAAGAGAGAGGAGGGAGGGGGAGGGGGGAAGGGGGACAGAGGTGGGTAAGGGGGGAGAGGCAGAGAGAGAGAGAGTGAGAGAGAAGGAGAGAGGGAGGGTGAGAAAGAGGGCACAGGAGAGTCCACCAGTGCAAGTGCAGGGATGGGATGAGTAGGCGGGGCCTTTGGCCTTTGGCCGGGAGTACCTGCCTCTCAGTTTTAGCCACAGACCCCACCTTGCAGCACTAAAGAGGGGGGAGTCTCAGCCTCGGGGCAACCTCGCACCTGGTGGGGGCTGGGTGAGCTCAGACAGCGCCCCAGGCTGGCCACCCCAAGCCTGCAGCAGGGCACTGCGCTGAGGGCCGCTGAGCCCCAGAGAGCTGGGGTGCACTTCCAACACATGGGCACGGATGTCATCCAGGTGCAGGCTGGGCAATGTCCGGCCACACGCCATGCACACCAGCCGGTTCCCCCGCGGGTCATAGTCCATGAGACATTCAGCCCGGAACCAGCTCTGCAAGGACTCCTTCAGCCTTCTCTCCAGGCGCTGGGACCCCAGTCCCCTGCTGCCCCCAGCCCTTCTGGAGGCTGAGAGGCACCGGCGTCGGGATGCCACTGGGCCCCCTTGCACCCGACACCGACGCAGGGAGCCCCCACCAGCTGAGGCTTTGCCTGAAAGGGTTGGAGGGAAGCAACTGAGATGCTGGCCCTCTAGGGAGCCCCCCACCACAGCCAGGCCTTCCACAGCCTCTTGCTCACTGAACTGTGACTCAAGTGCCACATCTAACCTCTGCCTCTGCCATCCTCTCCCCTCACATCTTAGCTTCATCTCCCTAATCCTCCTGCACAAGCTAGCTAAGTCCAACCAGCCTTCCCAGACCCAGATTCCAGCCCCTTCCCTGGGCTCCACTGTCAGCTTTTCTAGCACCCTTCTGTTCCCTCACCTACCCTAACCCTCCCTGCCTGTTCCCACCAACTTCTAACTCCTCTAAAACCACAGAATGTCAAAGGTGTTAGAGAGGTTGGAGACTCCCATCAACTGTCCTCTCTCACTATTGGACAATAAGGGCAATAAACAGGCCTTACCCAGAGAAGGAGCAGTGACCTGTCCCAAAAAATCAGCTAGTGGACAGAGCAGCTGCCCTGACTTGGTCCCAACATACCTAGGTCCCTGCCTCTCCATGTCCCGCATTACCTGAGCCCTTGGGTGGGCAAGCCTGGAGGCTAGCCCCCTCTTCCTCCTCTTCATCTTCCTCCTCCTCCTCTTCCTCAGCCCCCTGGGCCCCTAGGCCCTCAGCCTCACCACAGGCCCCCAGCCCCAGGTGGGCATCCCAGCTGTTGCTGATGACTTCCTTCTCACGGGGACTCCAATGCAGAGAGTAGGGGTGTTTCTGGCGGATGTGCCGCTTGATGGTGCTGAGCTTGAGGGTGGCCAGGGAGCTGCCACACACCATGCACACCATGCCATGCCGAGCAGGGTTGAAGTCCATCAGGTACTCCAGCCGCCAGTGGTCGTGGTAGTAGCGCCGGTGGTCACGGCCAGGGATGCGGCTCTTTCCAGGCCTCGAGGCCCTGGCCTCACAATGGTCTGAGTATTTCCTGCCCGAAGATGCTGGTCCCCTGGCCCTGGAGGAGGGCAGGGGGGTACTCCCCCAGGACCCCAAGGTACCCCCTTCCAGCTGAAGATCTTGTCCTGAAGAAGAGAAAAGGAAGATAGATTTCAATCTCCAGTTTCCAGGAAAAGAACCAGAGCTTTAATTTCAGAGCCTGAGAAGGGGGTGGGGTGTTTCACGGAAGGGAAGGGACAGCAATAGCAATGAAAGGAACGTGGGAGAACCAGGGTGTCAAAACACCCTAACACAGGGCAAGGACCCTGTGAGAGAGGCTCGAGAACAAAAGGATGCTGGGCACCCTGTGAGCCAGCTGTGACTTTTTAAAGATAAGTGAGGGCCAAGGACACACCAGCTCTGTATAGCACCCTTTTGGAGGAAAGTGTAGGGATAAAGCCAGGACAGCAGCAGCTGGAGCGGTTACAGCCAGCATGGAGAAGGCAGTGGGGTGAGAGGAACAAAGGGGGCATCTGTCTACATCCAGGCCTGCACAAGGACCCACCCACCTGGGGCCCCAGCCAGGAGGGCCCCACCCAAAGGTCTCCTTTTTTCCAATAATGCCTCAAAAACTGCCTCCTGAGAGTCCCATGTAGGTATAGACTATGCCTTTGTCAGTTCCCTAAATACAGATTCCCCTACAGGAGAGATTCCCAACACAAAGCTGTCAACACCTCCACAAAAAGGAGTTTCTTGGACCTGGACTCCCCCCCCCCCCCAGTCTGAGAGAGCCAATGACCCTGAAAGGGGATGGCAGCAAGGCCACCAGAGTGGCTACCAAAGACACTGCATCAGGGAGCAGCCACCACCCACTAGAACCCATTAAGTCTTTCTGGAGATTTATTTTTTGCTCTGGCAGGGAGCTGGCCACTGCCCAGCAATAAGAAGGGAGGGCACTGGAGGGGATGGGGGGTTAACCCAGTGGTGTTCCCTTTGTGAAACAGGCACCCAGAGCAGTCCCCACCCTCCCTACAGTTATGACCCTCTTTTATTTAGAAAACCGTCTCCTGGCCACATAAAGTAAATGGACAGGTTCTGGTCATTCTCCCATTGGAGAATCCCAGGATCCAGCAAACAAAAGACAGGCTCAGAGAGGACTCCTGTCACACTGTAGAGGGTTTTGTTTGTTTTAGTTTGCATTTTTAAAAAGTAGATTCATAGAAAAAAACCACTAGGTTCAAGTCCTAGCTTCATTGATAACTTGCTCTGTGACCTCTAGTAGGTCATGTCCGCTCTCTGGGCCTTTGCCCTCTTTGTCTGCAAAGATACTGGATGGCTAGCTGGTCTTTTAGCATCCTTCCAGCGCTGGAGCCATGATAGTCTAAGGCAGACTGGCCCTTTAAGAGTCAAAAAAAAAAAAAAAAAGAGGAGGAGCTGAGATTCTTTAAAAACAAAAGGGGATGGGGAGTTTTGGGGAGGGGAGCTCAGAGATTAGGGCAGAGTCTCCCAGGTCGGGACTGCACCCTCACAGGTCCTTAGGCGCAGCTAGGAATTGACAACAGTTTTCTCTGAGAGCCAAGAGGACGGGCTGGTCCCACTACAGCTGACAAATTGGGGTTGAGGGAAATTCTGAAAAAGGAAGAGACAAGGCGGGGACAGAAGAGGGTGTCTGCCTTTGTGGGCGAACCCATCCCTTATTTAAAAGCTGCCCGCGGTGGGGGAAGGTGGTGGTGGGCCCCGGGCGCAAGCCATTCTCTTTGCCAGGGAGAACGTAGGAAAGAGAGTTCCTGCCTCGAACCAGGCCACATGAAGCGAGAGGCAGGCGGACTGGAAACCGTGGAGTTCGGTGCTCTGCTACTCTAGGGAAGGAGGGGAAAAAATCCAGAAGGGACACGGGGTGTGGGCGGTCTTTTAAGAGACAGCTGGATAAGAAAGACCACCTGGGAGTCTGAAAGAGAAAGGGGCGGGGACCGCGGGTCCAACCCCAGAGAGCCCCGCGGCGCTGGCCCCGCGGGGCCCCTCCGCCTGGCCCCCAAGGCGGGTCGCCGCGGGGCCCTTTAAGGAGGAAGGGATCCGCCCGAGCCCCGCGGGCCGACCCCGGGCGCTGGGCGGAGGGCTCTCCCGCTGGCCCTGCAACTTCGATCCGCGCCCGCCAGGTGGCGCCCCCGGCCGGCCTGCCCGCGTCCCCCCCTTTGTTCGCCGGCGGAGAGGGGCCCGGAGCCCGGAGCCGAAGCCCTCCCTTCCCCCACGCCGGGGCCCCCGCCTGGGCCGCCGGCCCCAGCTCTTACCGCCGTCGTCCTCCTCGGGCTCCGCGCCGCCGCTCGATCCGGTGGGCGGCAGCCGTCGGCCCCGTGCCGAGGCCACTGCTGGCCCGGGGCCGCCCCTGCCGCCGCCGCTCTGGCTCCGGTGGTCCCCGCCGGGCTCCATGCGCTGCGCTGCAGAGCGGGGCCCCGGGGCGGCGGGGCGCGGGGCCGCGGGGCCGAAGGCGGCCCGCGCGGGGCGCTCGGTGCGCGAGGCCCCGGGGCGCGGGGCGCATGCACGGGGCGGCCGGCCGCACGGACGGCTGGCTGCTCGCTCGGCGGCGCGGGCTGGACCGGGGTGGGGATTCCTGTCTGGGGCCCCTGGGGCTCCTTTAAGGGCTCCTGGGTAAATTTAAAGGGGCCGCGCGCTATTTCCTCCTGCCAGCTCGCGGGGGGCTGGGGGGGAAAGGCAGGAGGGGGCGAGTCCGCAGCCGGCGGCCCCTCCGGACGCTAAAAGCACGGACCTCGCCGCCCTCGCGGGCCCGCGCCGCCACCTCCGGGGCTCCGGTCACGACTCCCGAAGGGTCACCGAGGTGGTGAGGGGCGCCCGCGTCCGCTGCGACGCGCTTCCACTCAGGCTCGGCTCGCAGCCACCGCCCCCTCGGGGCATGTCAGCGCTGGGCTCTCCGCGGCGGCGCAGGCAGGGGACCGCCCGGTGGAGCGGCCGAGGTCCCTGCCAGGGGCTGCCTCCTCCCACGCGACCTCGGCGCGGGCCCCAGAGCGGACGCGACTGGCAGGGGCCCCAGATGGCTGAGGCCCCGCCGAGAGGGTGGAGCCGCGGGGGCGGCCGCGCCCCCTCCCGCGGGAGCCGCCGGGGAGCGCTGGGAGCTCCGGCTTCTCCAGGGGAGGGGCGGACGGGCGAGGCTCCTCGGGAGCTGGTCAGGGGTGAGGGCGGTGGCCGCGGAGGCGCAGGCGGGGGAGCGGGGTGTACCGTACACCCGCCGAGAGCCCGCGGCGCCGGGGCCGGCCCTGAGGAGCCGAGGTGGCCCCGGGATGGAGGCCGGGAAGAGGGCGGGCGCGGCGGTGACTCAGGCTCCTAGCCCCACAGGCCCGGGGGTGCCGTAGGAGACCCTTGGTGCAGCCCCAGACCTCCTGCCCGGCCTTAGGGGGCAAAGAATGCTAACCGCGGTCAGGGTGTCGGGCACCTGGGCACGCGCGTCAACACGATTGCGAAGCGCTGGGACAGACCCTGGCCGCGTGTCCCGGGGGCGCCTCCAGGTCCCCAGCTCCAGGGAAACCGAGAGAAGGGACCCCGCGAGGCAGCCACGCGGGGTCGCGGCAGCCTGGGGCCCTCCTGCGAGGACCTGCTGGAGAAGCAGGTGCTTGCTTTGCCTGTGGTTGGTCTCCCACAACAAAGGCGATTCCTGGAGATCCAAATTACAGGTTGCGGGAGGCCATGCAGGGTCTTATTATCTAGAGATGAGTTTTCTGCGGGAAGTCCTGCGGGCAGGGACCCGGCAATCCGTTATAGAAGTCATTGACAGATTCCTTCTCTCATTTAGCACCTACTATGTGCCCGCATGCTTTTAGACTCTGGACACAGCACTGACCAAGACGGCGAAAACTACTACTGTCTGTGACTTAGCACCCCTGGCTTATAAAATGGAAACAATTCCAGCCCCTTGGGAGCCTTGGAAAATATTAAATTACCCGGAACACAGGAAACACCCACCCCCGCTCACCGCCGCAAGTGTATACGACCAAGGGACCGGAACTAAGATTTCTTAATTGTCTCCCAGGACTCTGTCCCAGTCCCATCTCTCCTTCAGGCCCAATGATGACCTGAGAGACTTAACGTTGGGGAAACTGAGTCTGTCTCACATCTCTGCTGTCACTCAGGATGGGGCTGCCCTTTTTTCCACCCGCTTGGGGCAGGGCCCCTGGTGCTCATGGGGTGCCAGGTGGGGTCATGAGGTGGAGGGTTGCCTGGCCCCGGGATTCAAAGAGAAAATAAAAAAGGACCTGCCCTTCGTGAGCTTCTGAGTACGGCTTTGAAAAGAAAAAAAAATCCGGCGGTCGGGGTGGGTAGGGGAGTGGGGTGTGGTCAGCCCCTGGGGATGTAACTCTGGGAGAGCACTTGCCTGGCACCCTCCAAACCTTAAGTTAGATTCCCAGTTCACAAAAAAGAGCAGGGAGGGGCGGGGGTGACGCTAATGCGGCCTAATGACCTAAAGTGAAAGAAGTCTGTTCCTCTCGGGCTAAGGGGCTTCTTGATTTATTTCACTTTAGTTTCTAATTACAAAGGCTACACGTTCAGGTGCAGCCACGGTGAGACTGAGATGCATTTCTATCTGTCCTTCCTGTACTCTCTGTGTATAAAGAGGGTGATTTTGTTTGTTACACAAATCAAGGTCTCAAAGCCACCTGGAGCCATTTTTAACAACCTCTGGCCCTTCCCCATCACCCACATCCTGCAAGCCTCAGGAAAGGCTCCAAGCTCCAGTTTCCAAGCGTTCCACCGGCAAACTCATGAAGCTGGAGCTTGGCTGCTCAGACGAAGACATGAGACTCAGAGAGGAGAAGCTCACTCAAGATGGTCTGCTGATTTCATTGATTTGGAAAGCATTGCCTGAGCCAATCCAAAGTGCCTAGCCCTGGGCTAGGTGGAAAGGTTTAAAAATACTTGGGTAGCATGTACAAGGTGCCAGATTCAACTCCCAGCACCGCCAAAAAATAAAAATAACAATGCAGGGGAATCCATCCCCCTTTCCTAAGAGTTCTCAATTCACTGTGGGAAGGGGAACCAAAGACAACTGTAATCCAGGACCACATTATGATTTTCTTTCTTTTTAATTTTTCTTTCCTACACTAGAAATTGAACCCAGGGGTGCTCTACCACTAAGCAAGACAGAGTCTGGCTAATTTGCTGAGGCTGGTCCTGAACTTATGATCCTCCTGCCTCAGCCTCCCCAGTGGCTGGGATTACAGGTGTGTACCCAGCCACATTATTTTTATGGGCCATAGATACTTTTACCTTTGTGGACATCTTCTATTAAAGAGAATTTTTAAATGTTTCAGTAAATTTTTTCATGTGAAAAGAAATGTTAACATACTTGGACCCTTGCAAAGTTGTTGTTGTTGTTTTTTTTTTTTCCTTCTGATTTGAAATCTTTTCAGAAGCCCCGAAAAGTATGGTGGGCTCAGGCACAGTACCCCTGGTGCCAGTTGGGCAGTCAGCGTTGACTGTAGCACAGGGTGAGGTGTCAAGGGAGAGGGAAGGCAAGGAAGAGTTACCCAACCAGGGAAGACTTGCCAGAAGGAGAAAGGGAGCCAGGGCCTTGCTGGCAGAGGCCAGGGGAGCTCCAGTGGAGCAGGGCTTCCAGTGGGAGAGACAGAGGAAGAAAGGGAATTTAGGAACTAAGCCTTAGGTGGCAACTTGAGAGTTTGAGTCTGTTCAGAAGTCACTGGGGTGTGCCTGAAGGCATGCCTGATCTTCTAGGAGGCAGCCCTGAGGACACTGTGGCTGCCTTTAGGGCAGGCCATGCCAGCCCCCAAGGACCTGCACCAAGTGCAGCAGGGCCAATGGAGAGGAGTAAAAAGCATAAGCAGACCACCACTCATCATGGTGCAGTCACCGCACACAGGGGGAAGGTACCAGAGGAGGATGAGATGCCAGTGGTATCCCAGCTGAGCCAAGCAGCCTAGCAGGAGGAAAAGACACCTCTTCTCATTAAGGAGCAATTTGTTAGCCAAGATATGTACCTGTAAGCTGGTTACACCCAGTGGGGGTCCTTTTGCCTAGATTCTAACAAAGCCCCTCTTGCAAGTTAACATGGTCCTATTTTGAGCCTTTAACAAGGTAAATCACTGGCACGGTGGCACATGCCTGTAATGCTACTTAGGAGTCTGAGGCAGGAGGATCACAAGTTCAAGGCTAGTCTCAGCAATTTAGCAAGCCCCTGTCTCAAAATAAAGAGGGCTAGGGATGTGGCGATTACTTAGAGGTAAAACACTGACCTACCATGTGTAAGGCCCTAGGTTCAATCCACAGCACAGGAAACTAACAAAGGCAGCATCTGCAGGACATGGTGCCTGACGGAATGGAATGAGTGAAAGGTCACGCTAGTTCCCAAGTATCTGGGCTGAGAAGAAAAGGTCCAGATCGGATTTGAGGTGGAATGAGGTCACAACCTGGAAACTTTGGCTCCTGTATTAAACCCAGACCCAGTGTTTATACCTCGCCTCTTCCCTTCCCTTCTGTGACTCAGATACTTAGCCCACTGGCTGGTATCTCTAACCAGCAAGACTCTTGGCTCCCTATGTCCACTGGTCTCAGCCTGCAAGGGCCAGAGGCCCCTATGGTGGTGGGAGACAGCTTCCTCCTACTTCTCAGTGATTCCTTGGGTAATCCCAGAGAAAGAAAAAAAGGGCCTTCTGATGGCTGACATGGAGGAACTGTGGATACTGGGCCCAAAGGAAGCTTCTAAGGAGGTAAATACATTAACATCGCATGACCCAAATTTCCCACAAATTCTGGATTCAACTTTTCAATATGTCTCAGAACTATAAAATACTAGTAGGCTTTTGACATCTCCAGTGGGCATGACTGAATTCTTTCAAACAAAGATCAATTGCTCATATAGCCTATAAATGTCAAAGGGACCCCCCCTGCCCCGTGCTGGGAATGAAACCCAGGACCTCATGCACGGTAAGCAGGTAGACACCAAGCTTCATCCCCAGAATTTTTTATTTTTTGAGACAGGGTCTGGCTAAATTACTGAGATAGGCTTCAGACCCGTGATCCTCCTCATCAACCTCCTGAGTAGCTGAGATTATAAGTGTGAGCCACCGTGCCTTGGCTCAAAGGAAGTCTCTACATAGATTGTAAATTAAATCATCCCTTGTCAAATTCCAAAGAAAGTCTAAACCTAAAGATGATTTCCAGGTGTAAGCCAAACTTCCAAGTTTCTATATGTGCATTGCAGGGAGAGGGAGTAGAATGTTAGCCTCAGATACTTAAATTTGAGAATAAAGCGATAAATAAAATTATCTTTTAGAAACAAGAAAACTGGCAAACTGTTTCCTCACATTGATCTATGTGACAACCCAAAAGAACAGTTACAGATGAGAGAGGAAAGCAACTTATCCAAAACGCAGTTGATGATTGGTAAGAGAAGACATAACCCT